AACTTTTGGGAATAGTTTAGATTTTCGATATATATTAATTAAATCAAAGCTTAATTATCCTTTATGTTAATGTAACTCATCTTAGTTAAGTGTTATTTCCTTTCAATAGTTATAGCTATATTGGTATTATATTCGGTTTGAATATTAAATTTTGTTTAAGTCTTTATTTTATCATATACGTATACTATTTATTATTAGTATATATAGTATTTATTTGGGTCCAATTTGCTATATTAAAAAATAAAATTGTTGAAATAATTATTTTGATTTTTACTCAGTTTTCAGCACCTTAAAATCTAGACTCATTTAATATACACCAACGCCAAATGGCGCTAAAATCTCTAATTGCAATAAAAAAAAACGCTATTTGCGAAAGTACTTTCTTTCGTACTGTCCCTAGTAACCGCTTACAAATGAACTGCAATGCTCATTATCCGAGCCAATAGCATTAAAAATGTCTGAATAAACATTTTTCCGGCTGCCAGACGCTTAATAGTCATTTTGCACATAGCACACAATGAAAGCGTTTTGCGATTTTCTGAGCACATATGGGACGGTAAATGTAGCTGAGAGTATGTATGCGTGCATGAGTATGAATACGGTTTTTGCATGTGTTTATGTGCAATTAAATTTTATTGGTATAATTGCTCATTATGTGATAAAATCGCCTGTGGAATTGAAATTAAACGTGTGAATGCATTCGGTAATGGCTAAAAGTCATTGCAAATTCCAAAAACTAACAAAGACCCAAAAACTGGTAATCCGTGAAGATCTTTTTATATATGGAATTGTCATCTGACTGGTATATTTAGCTAAAATCAAATAAAATGAAGTGGGTCCTTTAAAGAGTCTCTTGCTCTACTTCGGATTTTTGGTTTACGATATTTAATTTTTCTTTCTAATTTAGATAAGAAAATAAATTAGGAAAAAAGATAAAGATAACTTTGATTTTTTGACAGGGCATCCATCTTTATTTATATAAATTAATTATTGTAGATTAAAAGTTCTATTAAAGTAATGTGGTTTGGAATATATATTTCGCATTCAGGAAGGTTGCACTCTTACTCACTAATTATTATTTGTAATTACAATTATTAGTAATTACTAATTATTATAAGTAATTACTAATAATTAATTATGGAAATTTGTTTTGTTTAAAAATAAATATTTGATTATGTAGTCTTTACAATGGCCAATGGATGTCTCTGAGTAGAAGTGCTAGCAATTATAATCAGCACCCGATAACAATTTTTTAATTATTTTGGGTTTAATTTGATTTATTAAGAATTAAAAATACCAAAAAAAAATACGCACATCTTAGATTGACGCCTATTATAGGTGTCCTGATCACTGTAGGGTTTTTTAGGTAGAAGTAATTACCATAAAGGAAGCCTTAGCTTGTCTAGAAGTACATGATATACTTGAAATGAACCCAATTTACATCTAGGACAGTCTTTGACTGCTATACATCTCTAAATGGGATGTCGACGCAGTTCAATATTTCTTTAATTTGGGGTCCCGACCATAGGGATATTTTAGGCACTTGCAAAACAGATGAGCTAGCCAGACAGGGTGCTTCAGGAAATCACTCGGGACACCTGAACTATCTGGGCGTATCGTTGACATCATGCAATTTGGTATTGAGTTCTTTCCTGGGAAGACTCTTTCCTGTTGTCATAAGTCGAAAGTCGAAATTCCTCTTAGAGATACCCTGCAGAGATATCAGTCTTGCAGTAGGTTTACTAATAGGTCATTGTATTCTAGGTAATCATGCTAGGAGATTGAATCTCTCTTTCAACAATTTTTGCCGCAGTTGTGGTGAGGATGACGAAAGTGCCTCCCATCTGCTTTGTTTCTGTCCGATACATGAGCGGTTTCGCCTTAAATTTTTTTAGGTCTTCTTTTTTGAGGATCTTGGCGAACTTCGAGACCTCCCTCTAAATAGCATAAGTTTTGTCAAAGGTTTTAGATGGTTTTAGCCCTTGGGTTTTCAGTAATACAGTAGCACAGTGGGCCTAAGTGGATCCCCCTAGGATCGTCGGTATAACCCACCTACCTAGATTGTTCAAATTTGCACCTAATAATTAATCTTTTATAATTTTGTTTAATTTCTGTCAAATTTAAAGAAACTATTATAGAACAATTTTAATTTGTTTAAATTTAATTTGTTAAATAGTGCAAAATATTCATAAGAGAAATAAAAATTTCTATTCAGAAATATATTCCTTCCTTCATTAATTTTGTTCGTATTTTTTTTTTTTCATTAAATAATGATATAAATTTTTATTCAAATGCATATTTAATCATTTATTTCTAAAGTACTTGTAAGACAAAAGATCAAAGTGATAAAAAAATTGCTCATTTGTGGCTTCTGTGAGTACCACTTCACGCAAGAAGCCAAACTACGTTCAGATTGAAGACAAAAACTAAAACAAGAAAATGATGAAATTAAGAAAAACTTAATTAATTATCGAATTCCCAAAAGGATATGCTCTCCCCATTCAGTAGCTGGAAAAGCCATCAGATAAAAGTTTTCAACAACTTTAATTTCGTTGTTTTACGAGGTCGTTAAACAGCCGACAAACTCCACAGAAAATTGGAACGCAAGGATTGAAACTACTTTCGAATATTCGCAATTAACTGCGAAATCTCTGCGATTTCATCGCTGAAATGAAAAGGGAAGAATCACAAAAAAATTAGGTGGTAAAATATTTCAGGAAATGCTTAAAAACTTGAGACACAATCACAATCCGCCTAAACATCATAATTAACCACAAACAGAAAACGAACCAAAAACGCCGTAAGCGTCAAAAAGGCATGAAAATCCTGTCAGTTGGCAGTGCCATTGCTGGGTGGCTATACCACGTTCAACCGAGCAGCTCGGTTGGATTTGGTTAGCATCAGCGGCTTGAAAATTAGGTGTTGTAAGTGCTATAAAAGCGCGCTCAACTATAAAAACTTTTACTACAACTGAGAATAATAAAAAAATTACTTAATTAAAATGATTAACTAACCGCAAAGTTAAACGAAAAATGTCTACTCTTGTCAGTTCGGAAATATATTTTTTTTCCAAAGTAATTTTTTTTTTTTATTTCTAAATGAAATTTGAAATAAAAAACTTATTAGTAAAGTTTTTTATATTTAAGTGAGTAATTTATATAACTTAAAAAATTATTTCAAAAGTATTTAACATTATATACACATTGATAAAGGATGTAAAAGTATTTTTGAAGATATATTGACAGTTCAATTAAAGACGTGTTTTGATTGCTAAAAGTAAGGCACATAAATCTATATTTAAAATAATTTAATATGGTTATTAAAAAAAATACTTGTAATAACATTATTAATATTTCCAATTAGTCTTACCATATTTATGACCCAGAGAAATATTGACTATCATTATCATCAGTTCCTGTATCTCCCATTGGAGCATAGAGTCTCAATAAAGCACTTCCATCTAGTTATATATTTTGCTAATATCGTTCCATGTTTTTCCGAACTCTTTGATTTCTTTTTCCAATGTTCATTTCCATGTGTTTTTAGGACGTCCACTCTTACGGCTGCCTTGAGGGTTACAAACAATAGCTTGTCGAAATTTCTGTGGCGTCCATTCGCAATGTGTGACCTAGTCACCGCCATTTTCGTAGTTTTATGTACTTGGCCACTGGTTCCAATTTACATTTTTCATATAAGTCGGAGCTACTGGTAACATTTGCCCACAATACCTTGAGAATACGTCTAAGACATCTGTTGACAAAACTTTTAATTTTTCCAGTGAAAAAGTCGGTAACAAGCTAGGTCTCACATTCATGGAGCAATAGTATGATGATGTTTCACTTAAATACTCTGATTTTAGCGAAGAACATATTTTTGCTGAGTTCAATATTTGACGCAACTGCCACCACTAAATCTGGTTAGGATATCTTTTCTTGCGCTATCCTCTGCGGATATTACACTATCTAGGTAATTAAAATATTTAACCTGTTCGATTGCTTTGCCACGTAGCTTGAAATCGTTGTTGTTTTTGGTGTTAGTTTAAAATAAATAGATATATTAAAATAACTATTATATAGAAAGTAGTAGTCGCCAACTTGTAGAGGACTAAATATATAAAAAACTTTATCTTGAACACTCCCACCCAGTGCTGCTTCATAATTCTGTTATATCGTTTACGATTCTACACCATGAAGAAGCATAGGTAGAATAAGAAACTGGACACATTTGTAAAGTATTTCATTATTATGATGAGCACCTTTCTACGTACGGTCATATTTCATTATTATGATGAGCACCTTCCTACTTACGGTCATGGCGAAATTAAAGAGATAACATGGTAAAAAATTACCTGGATTCTACAACTACGTATTAGCTTTACAAAAATATCAAGCTTAGACGTGGCGAACATGTGATACTTTATGGTACTAACGAAGACTAATTTTTTTCCAGAATTTTTTACTACGTTCTTTTTAATGGTAATCAACCACGTCCAAACCCTGAGGTACAATCAGTGAGTTAACAAGTTACTTCAGCTTCTTACACAGTACATTTTACACAGAAAGAACCTTTTACTGCAAAGGTGGTAGACTAATCCCCGTATTGTTGTCGTAGATCATTGGGTCAACTTTTACGGGTCAGAACAATAGTTACTAAAGTTCCAGTTTTCTATCTGCATACCAAAAAGTAAAAATGGTTTTTCGCTAAACAATGTAGTACAACTAATACTAATTCTTTATCATATTTAATCACTGGATATTGACAAAGAAATAATGTATATTAAAAATTTGCTTGAAGAGTAATATAAACTAGTAAGGAAGAAGCTTAAAATAATTGTTAAAATTAGAATTTTTTTTATTAACTTTCTTAAAATATATATATTTCGTACACAAAAGGTCACATATATTATAAAGTAATACAAATAAAGTTTTCAAGTAGTTATTCATATAATATATGCTCTTTATTTCTAAATTTAAATTAAAATATAACAAATATAAGCATTTAAAGATTCTAGAGCATTTTTAAAATAATATATTGAATAATTTTGTTGAAAGACTTTGTTTTTCAACCGTGAACCTACTGAATAACATAGCACCCAGTCCAAACGAAAACACTGCGGTTAGTAGAATTGGAATGAAGGCATCTTTAGTAATCTTAGAAATGGAAAAAAATTTCTTTGTAAGATCCGGATACTTTATATATGCTCCAAACAAAATTACACCACGATTTGAAACTTCAACTTCAATAGGATTTTGTTGATCTTCAGGTAATATTTCTTTACTATTAACCGGTTGAACTGTATCCTCCTCGGTTTGAGTAAATGATGATGAGCTTTTAGTTAATATGGTTTGAGTACTTATTGTTTTATAATTGTATTTTCGCGTCTAATAAGCATTAAAAATTATTATTATTACTTTAAAATGTAGTATATTTTGTAGGAGTTTATTTGATATGCTAGAAATTAATGACATTATATTTTAAATTATAAAAAATGAAATCTCATTCAATTAATTTCACAAGAGGCTAATGCCATTCTAAAAATTTTTTTAAAACGTTTTACTTTACTTTCTCAAATGAAGTAACACTGAAAAGCAAAAGCACTGTTTCCATGAAACGACAAGTATATCACATATATGACATACTATATATCATATTCCCATGTTAAAAAAATAGCTTTAATGTATACTTACCAGTGTACAATCATCATCCAATTTAAATAGACTACTCACAGAACTGTCTAGTTTTGTGTGATTACTTTGTAACATTATTGGAAAGGGATTAGTTTGAGTTTCCTGGGTGGTGCTCTCTTTAGCAATATCTTTAAAGTTGTTAAGTATGAAAGATTGAAATGATATATAAATATTATAATTTGCTACTTCATATTGACTACCTTGTTGACTATCCAATGATGTCATCCAACCCGCAATAGGAATGTTGGGTGGATATTCTAAAGTTTGGTTAAATAATTCAAAGTGATTAGTCATAAGAGGTTATACGTTTTAATACAGTTTTTAAATCTTGATATTTATTATGACATGATATTATTACTTATTATAATAAGTCATAATAAGTTTACCAAATTATAATAGTTAATAAACACATAACTAATAATTATTGGAGTTTACCTTCTGATTCTATATTCATCATTGGCTTTTTTGCTTGAAGTACTTTTCCATTAGAATATTGTTCTAGTATACAAGCTCATAAGTTGTGTATTCATAAAACTTTACTCTGAGATTATACCTTGATATTGCTTCGGTATCACATATTTGGGTATTTTACTTAAACTTGTTCCTGAAGAGTCCTCAGTAGTTTTATAATTCATCTGCATTTTAGATGGTTTCGATTTTGATTCAAATTTGGTATTTTGCTTCTCCGAAGAGATATTTGTTAACTTATGTTTATGACATTCTTCTTCTTGAGTTATAGCTCTTCTTTTCTTTTTTACATATACAGGTATTTTCGTAGGTATTAACTCTGAAGAAAATTTCATTAAAACAAATCTTTTATGACTCAGAAAACAGTTAGGAAAAAATTTATTACCTTTCTGATAGCCATTACTTGATGGTTTATATTCACGAATTTGTTCTGCAAAAAATTATGCAAAAAAGATGACTTTGCCGAATCAAAAGTATATTATTAATATATATATACATACTACAAATATTTGGCCTATTAAAATCGTCCAAAGTAAGACTTAAATAAAAAAATGTTTTTTTATTATTATTAAATATATTTTATTTAATTTTTACTTACCTCTTGAATGATTTATTAGAGCGAATTTTTACATTTGGGTTAGTTATTTCACCATTGGATTGATTCACAAAATATCCTATTTTCATACTGGCTCTTGGCGATGGAAGTTTGGAACTGGAGTGTGCGACTAAACTAGAATCACTTTCACTAGATTCTTCAGTTGGCCCACGATTCAAAATTTTGTTTTCACTAATCACATTAAATTGCAAACAATTATATATACATATATATATTTATAGTTCAAAACGATCACTCACGTAAATTTTGAACTACTACTGTAAGGTTTTTCATTGTAATTTTTTCCAAACATATCGATATCCGCTTTATTTTTAATATTATCTCTAATAAAAAAATTCATTGAACTATAAACTACATGTACTTTTTTTACGAATAAGATATTGTCTTACTATATTAATAAATTAATTATTATAAATTTATTATTACCATATAAATTTATAATCAAAAGAACTATTATTTGCTATATTATGGGTATATTTTTGAATGTATTAAAATATATATTCTAGAATATTTGGGTACTCGTACTATACCAGTACACACATATGACATTGTCAGGTACGATTATGAGATCATTAAATTATCAAAATTCTTACTTACCTATAAACTGGATATAGAAATCGATTTTTGCACGTACAGGCGCAGTGAATATTTTGTTCAAATAATAATTCCTTGTTCTCTGATCTGAAAAAAAATTTGTTAATTAACAACAATAATTTTTGAGAATCTTCTTTAGATACAATGAAATTCTTTTTTATATTACAAATTATTGACAAATACTAATGTTGATACCTAACACATTGGCTACTTTAATTATAAAACTTTATACATAATACAAATATTTTTTATATATTTTATTTAAGAAATATATATCTTTATTTTGGTAACGATATATCATTTATTATATATTTGTATTGCATTGTATTTTGGTGGGCTCGAACATATTCGTGACACTGCGTCGATTTATAGACTAATGTCTCCTGCCCTATCCCTAATTACCGAAGGTTTTCCGTTACCTCAGCTGTAATCAGAAAAGTCTTGAACTTTTACAGATCGATGTCTGATTTGTAATCTGATTTGTGGATGAAATATTTTTGGAAAGTTCTTGTTATATATCGTCTAAGACCAGGATATTCTCCAAGAACATGTAACATTGTTTCTATATTTCTTTTTATAGCGTGAATTCATGGCACAGTCCAATGCTTTTTTTAACTGTAATGAAGCATTTTTTATGACATGTTGTAAGGAGAGTGGGTGTGGCAGTGGACGGAATATCATGAAAAACTTGGGGTATGTGTATAATAATGTAGGTATATTTGGTATCAAAATTTACCTTTCTACCTGTCATAGTTTTTGAAGGAATTTTACTCAAAATTTGGATCATCTCAAAAACAAAGCTTCATAAAAATTTCATTTCGATAGCTCTACTGGTTTAGAAGATCACGAATTTCGATCGGCTATTTTCTATATTGCCGTTTGTTGAAAGTCGTAAACGTGTCTTATGTTTATTTACGACGTTGGGTCTTATGACCAATTACCATTTCGATCATTATTTTTGAATCTAATCTCTTTAGATTTAAGAGACATTTGCTCTTTTCCACTAGGCACCTCAGAAAGTAAAGTCTTGTACAGCGAAAACCTTCGCAATTAAACCACTTGTGCTTTGCTCTATTGGTCAAGGTCGATTTGATTAGACTTATGAAGTGATTTTTGCTGACTCCAAAACCTGGCTCCGGACAATATAGTTGCCTTTAAGGAGACAATATGGTTCCTTAGCCAATTTATCCGCTACTTCATGTTCACCAAAAACGCTGTATGCAATTATCCACTATAACACTACTTGATTCTTATCTGAGAAATTTTGTAAAAATATTTACTGTTTCCCAAACCAGAGTAGAATATCAAGGTCAATTTACTGTCTTCCAAATTGATGCAGAATATGTTAATACCAATTTTATGTATTATTATATATTAAGCAGATCTCTAGATTAAATTTAAAACAAGGAATGTTATTTTTTAGAAAGTATTCGTATAATTATTAATATTAAATCCATATCTTTCACAGTAGTCTATACTTGAAATTATACACTTAATCCCATCGTAGTTAATATATGTAGTTATATACTTTTTTGTTGAACCATTTCTAGAATGGTGCAAGGTTTATTGTGGGAGTAATATGGAGTAAATTTTCAAATACAAAATTATGGTTAGCTCTAGAAATCAGTTAATTAGTACTGAAAAAAAATTTTATGGATTCAAAAATTTCCTATGACCTTTTTTTATTTGAAATAGATTCTCGTCGTAGAACGAAAATAATTTTTAATCGGGTTTCTTCTGTGTTCAGTTTTGTTAGACCAATGAAAGGTTATGAAAACTATAGACTATAGTAGTAATATTATTTTTACCTACTGGTCTATGGGTAATAAGATAGATTAAAAAAAAAAACAAAATTGTACTTTAAACTTAAAAATAGTGAAATTTTTTACTTACTTTCGAATAGGATGGAGATATCTATTTTTGCACTTGCATGGACAATGAGTTATATAATTTTTCATTTGTTTTCCAAGTAAAGTAAAATATAATATATGGAAAAACTTGAATTGGCAGTAATTTGTACTGTTGTTATTGTATTTATATTTACCTATTTTTGATATGTTTTAAAATAATAAAATTTTGACTTTTAAATGATATGTTACCTACTAAAAAATTAAGGCCTCTGTAATAAATTTATATTGACATATAAACAACTATTTGTTAAAGCTCTTTTATTCGGATTTTCTTTCAGTATATTTGTTATGGCTTTACGTCATATTTAGTGTCTTGTTTTCGATAAGTTTACGTGCCCCAAAATTCCAGCTTGATGGTCCCATCAAGTACCGTTATTACATTATACGAGTATATAAACATTGATAAAAGCGAAATGTTTAAGTGATATGAATTCTAATGTAGATCGAACTATTATTATTAACCAACCTTTTTCCATCCTTCAATATATAAAAGATCGAAAGTAAATTCAGTTACTCTATACGTTCAAATGAATGGGCATTCAATATGCCCAACCCGATAACAACAGAACTAAGTATAAATGTTACGAGCATCATCTTTTGTTTTTACGCAGTACCTTTATTCATTGAGTCTTTAAGTAAGAAAGAACACTCAATAGAGAATAGAGTTTATATGACATTTTTAATACTTATGTAGAATAAAATTGAATTAATTCCCTATACGTCAAGAATAGAATTCCCTGTGGCATACGTTCATGGCATGCACAAATTAAGAATTGACCTTCTATACAGATAGCTAGGAACGTAACATAAGAGTTGACTTTGAACTATTCCGGAAAGATTTTGGATTAAAACAGTCTGTTCACTTAGCTAATTACTTTAGTGCTTATTAAGGAGTGAGCTAACCAATCATGAAAGCAGCCGTTTATTTTAGTAAACCTATGGACACTACAACCACTATAAATATATACTCAAATAATCAGACAGCCCTCAAATCTTTAAACTAGATGGCAATAAATTAAAGATTCCTTTAATTGCTTGACAGATTTAAAATAAATATTAGCCGTCTGTAGGGTATGACTGATATGAGTTCAGGAACACGATAAGATTAAAGAAAACTATAGAGCTCATAAATTTTTTAGGTTCCTTATTTGAGCAGACTAACGTTTCTCTGAGCGCAGATGGTTGCGATATTGGAATACTTATAGCCACTTTTTGAAACACATTGTTGTTTAAGTCTAATGTGGGTGATATTTGTTATGAAAAAATCAATAGATTTGCTCATCCTAAAAAGAGTGGATATCTCTACGTCCGGTACCTAACATATATAACCGGTCTCTAGATATTCGTCTTTGTAATTATAACAAATATAATAATTGTGAACAGCGTCACGCTAATTAATAATACCATAAGTAAACCCCAGCACTCAAAATTGTAATTAGGTATAAAAAAATATATTTGATGGTCTATGAGAAAAATAGATTTAAGTTCCTTGATGGTTTTTTTTTTATTTTTTGCAGTAAGAAGATATATGTGCCAAATGATTTCGCATTAAGTATATTTTTTCCGTCTTTAATGCTTCTGCGAGGTACGAAATAAAAGGAAAAACTGTAGTGTGGTATCGGATGTGGCTTTTGGTGAAGTTTCTGAAATTAATCTTTTTATTTTTCATTTTTTCTACGGAATGAATGGTTTACGCAACAAACCGCATCCATTTGCGCTCCACCGTTAATAAGCTTATATTTTCAACTACAATTTTTACTTGATGCTTCTTCATGTTTCGCAGGATTCATTTGGTTCTTGATTTTTTGCATGTAAGCTACGAGTATTCACTCTTAATAGCTTTTAGTATAACAGACGCTGAATGCATCAGCAAGCAATGCGTGGTTTCAACTCCTTTTGAAGTTTTCGAAAAGTTTTTAAGTGATTTTTTGTATTCCTGCACTTGACTGTAAATGAAGTTGGTCCTGTTTGTTGTCCTGTTTTAAGTTGAGATGTTTCTTGGTTTTTTATGTGGACAAAAATAGAAAAATAAATTCGCTTTGATTGTTTTAATATATTAATATTCTCTTAACATTTATTTTTTTATACCCTTCATACTATCACATGAAGGATGTGTTTACTTTATCAAAATGTTTGAAATTCAGTCAAATATGCATAATAGTTCAAGTGATGTTACATATAAATTATGACAGTTAATTTGTTTACTATTTAGCTGGGCGTCATGAACGTCTATCGTATTTGGCCATGGCCAGTAGTCTAAGCCACCAAAGTGATCACAGGTTAACTCTCTTTTGTTTATAGTGGCTACTGACCATTTTACCTCGTCATTCTTTTATTATGTTTTACACCAACAGACCCGATTCAAATCTTTCTAAGTAAAGTTTTTTTATATATTTGCATGGCATACACAAGGCGCAAAATCTACATATCTTAATTACGTGGATGACATATTTTTTTCATGGCAATGGTCGTATTATTCATGATTCTAATACGATACTTATTTCCAACATGTACAAAACCATTGATTTATCTCTCGACCGCTCCGTATGCCTCTTTATCTCTGTGGTAATTGTCCAAGCTTCTGCAGCATTCAGCTGGACAGGCGTATTGGAAGATGTGAAGAATAATTTTTTTCCCGAAAAAGAAGACTTTATAACTTCAATGTTTATCAAATCCAAAATAGTATATATTATAAAAAGTGATTCTTAATTAAATTTCTAGTGAACAGTGAAATAGGTTTAAAGATGCGCAGGAGATTTGTTTGTTGATTGAATCTTGTTACTTTTGTTTTCATTTACCAGAACAATCACAAGCTCCGCTAGTTTTATAAATTAGATAAATCTTCAGACCACCAATATCAATATCGTTTTTACATAAGTGAGCAGCATCGCATCTTTGTGAAAAGTTGTGACAATACGATTCACTTTTTCTTTAACCTAATGTTAAAACTTTTATTTCCAAAATTCAGTTGAAGACTCACACTATAAGGAGTAGCTCTGTTTAAACACTTATTTGATATTAAGAGGTATCACCTTTCCTCACATCGGAGAGGTGGTACTCAACGTCATTTTAGAAAACTATGTATATCAGTCTTCCTCAAACACCAAATGCAGGCATAGCAGTATAAATATTGATTCTAATCGATCTAAAGCGGTTATATTGCTATATACCTACAGATTGTGTGAAGGGTATTAAAGTTGGAACATCGTCCAAAAATAGAATTCCATCTGTTTTCATTAGTTTTTTTACAATTTTTATTTTGTGGAAGTGCTGTTACTGTCGTTGAATACGTATTGTATTTTCTTTTTTGCGTTGGAAGTTCTATTGCGTGCAGAAAGTTTGCGAAAAACTTCAATGCACTTCATTCTTAATTATATGAATTGTTCTGTTCTGTAACTATATTTGTTCTTTAAAATAAAAAAAAAATCCAATAAAAAATAATTTAAAAATATGATTTAAAAAATTATTTAATAATAAGAATAGAAATAATTAAAATAAAAATAATTTAATATAATTTAAAAATATGACTAGAATCTATCTAGCATTGAAGAACTTCTTTTTATAATTTCTGCTATGGACACCATAAAAAATGGGTCGTAGATCACATTCTGTAAGTATTGCTGTTGTACTATTGTATGTAAGGAGATTTCGCACAATCATTGTTACATCCTATCTGAATTGAAACACTAATCGCATTACAGTGTCTTATAAACGAGTACTTCAAGTGCAACTACTTTTTATTTTGAACTATCTAAAATGACGGTTCTTCAATCACGCATATTTATTTTATTAGCATTGTCTATTATATTTTCCAACCATTTCTTTCTCTAAGGGCCTTCGAGATGTACTTCATTCCATTTTCACGAAAGTGCGTTATTTGCCACCTGTGAAGGATGCATCCTTTTCATATATCTTAGCTATTAAAACTACTGAGTTTTATTGTTTTCTTTTACATTAAATCCGTCCTTATATTGTATGATCGAGTTCGTGATTTATTGTTTTGCGTATGATCCATCGTTTAGTATCATTAAGATTTATTATTCTTAAAATTCTCTAATATAACAAAAACTTATATCGCGTATGATTTAGGAATCCACGCTTCACATCCGTTGGTAAGTTAGATTATGTGGAGTGTACTAATACAACTGTTACCATTTTTATTCCAAATCATATATATATATATTATACTGTCATCAAAGTTGTTTGTGAGAGATGGGTTAAATCGTTTCCATACATTATTCTTATAAAACCATTTTGTCTTTTACATAAAGCACAGGAGATCCCAAAAATCAAAATCCAATATCTTTATAAGGCCAGTGGGAAATAATCTCAAAAACCGTGAAGTCCCATACAAAGACAATGATTGATGGATTCTATTTCATCATCATTGTGGCAACTCCTACCTAATCCACTTGTAGAAATACGCCATCGCGTATTAATGACGAATAGATGAAAACATATTCATAGGTAAGAAGTGGATGTTTTATGGACTAATATGTGATTACTTACTGATAGTCCTTTTTACTTATTAAACTATTCCAGGTTATTTAAATCTTAAATCTTTTAAAAATACTTTATTTTCTGCTGCTTTGTTTTTTATTATAGGTGTTTCTTCATACCACATAAGTTTGACATAATAATATTTTCGTCAATAAGTTATATGATATATTATATATAAATTTAGTTATATATACATACCTATATAGGTGTGCAATATATATCGCTTTCTTTCTATTGAAGTCGATGTACAGCTGTTTTTCTGTCATTTGTGTGGCCTTCGCAGGTTATTTGTGTAGATCTGCGAGGTGTCAAATCTCTCGCAACTTTGATGAACTTCAGTTTGAAAATATGGTTCTTCCAATGATTTTCAACTCTTGTTCTTATCAACTGGACAATATTCATCATTTTCATGTTTTCAGGAATTACTTTATTTATGATACGAGTATAATCGTATATGCGTTTTCTAGGGATCGGATCAAAGAGTATGGTCTCTGCAGTGCATAGGAAAGATTCGATCATCGACTTTATGGCTATTATGTATATGGCTATTTATTGCTATTACGTACTATCCTTAATACATTCCTCCATATTATATTTGTTATGTATTTCTACATACTAGTTTCTTAT